CAGATCACATTGCACTCCAATGTCACACATAGATCTAGTAGGAAAGCTAATGGTCTGTCGTACCTGTGAAATAACTCATAAAACCTATGCAATATGAGGTCGTAACTAACTAGCTGATAGCTTTCTTGGAGCTTTGATGCAAACTGTCTGTACTTTCACTGATCTTGTGACAATCCTTTCAATTTGAGTTCCTACAGACTAAATAATATATATATGATAAAATTCAGAAGGTAGTGGTATCAATTTGTTACCTGTGACAAATGCTCTGGTTGAGGCTCTGGTGTAGTATCATTATAATTGTCAGTCAAGATTGGCGCAGGATCAGATGGTGGTATTGATCTATGTAGATGTCTTGTAGCTTTAAGAATCTAAGTATAGTAGGCCCAGAGAATACTAATAAGTTGTTTAATTACATTGAATCATTTACCCTTAGCCTTTCTCTCTTCTCATAAGCAGGTTTTTTTGCAGCTGGTTCTAGAGCTTCTGTTAGTTTCCTTTTAAAAGAGGTAGGAACAGCATCTTTCTTCAATTTGGCTGTTGTCTCCAATCCAAAGCTTTTGCACATCCTTTTTCCAACTTCAAAGCAATCTTGAGTGAAGTGTTCTGAGCAAAAGACTGAGTTCCTAGTTGGTCCCTTCCATTCAGCTCTAGTCCTTTTGACTTGTTCAGTCCACTTTTTTCTTAGAGCATCATTCTTAGGGAAGTGAAAGACACTTATACTTTTGGAACTGGTGTTGCTGCATCCATAGGCAACACAACGGTTAGGCATTTCTAGTTTTCCATATGCAGCATACACTCACATGCAGAAACTTCTGCCTCTCGTGACGTCACGTGAAGCCACACCCCTTAACAGGAAGTAGTATGGCAGGAAGCAAAAAAGAGCAACTTTGAAGGCCCATATCACAGAGACAAAATTTTTTTGAACAGTAAGACTAAGTACACATCATTTTCATGATCATACAAACATATTAAGCCAATAAAAAAATACCCGAAAAATCATTGAACTTACCCTTTAAGAATAGCACTGAATATGGAAAATAAAAGTATGAATATAATGATAGTGAAATTTTGTATGGACTACGTTCTTATTAATTATTACCTGCACCAAGTGAAGCAAAGGAATATTATTATACAAAAATTATTAAAGTTTTATACTACAGCCCTGAAATAGTTCATGTTTTATTGCTGTCAAGTATGAACAGTGTAGATTTGGAAAACATCTTATGACAGCAAATGTAATGCTGCAACAAGTATACTGTTAGCATTACTTTTGAAAAATTGATCCCACGAAGTATTTGTATGTAAAGTTGCTTAAGCTTGAAAAGTAGATGCTACTTACATATAT